TTTTTTTTTGTCTTTTTCCTTTTATCGGTACCAGGTTAAACACACTCCTTAAGAGTACAGGAAAAGACAGGGATTGAACTTTTCCCATTTTTCTCAAGCCAGGTTTCTTACAAAATTTGTAACATCAGATATCTTGAGTTTGTCACTAAAAATCTTACAGATCCCACAAAATCAGACTCTAAAAATACAGCTGCACAGGATTCAGGATTTACAACTCCTGTGGTTTTGTCCATCTTTAGGCCACAAAAGATAAACAATAAAATGCAAAAGTTAGCCTAACAAGAATCAGCAACAAATGCTACAACTATTAGGTAGAAGATTATTGGAGAACAGGCTAGTGTTGTTGCTAACTGGTCATGTGACAGATTAAAAGCTAATTGTAAAAACAGACATTAGTCAAGTGATCAAACATAGCTTCACAAATAATGAAACAGAACACTTCATGTCTCCTGGGAGTAAATACACAATACACAGCATCATTTATTAGATACTGATTTTTGTTAGTCTGCTTTTTGTTGTTTGTTTGAGACAGGGTCTTGCTATGCAGTTCAGGCTGGCCTTGAACTCAGTATGTAGGCCAGGCTGCCATCAAATTTGCAATGATCCTCCTGCTTCTACCTCCTGAGTGCTGGGATTACAGGTGTGCATCACCCCACTCAGCAATTTATTAGATATTCATGTCTTAAATGTTTTACGGGAAACTAACGAATCCTCTAAATCTATTTTACAGTTAAGGCTAGTATAGGGAGATACAGGAAGAATTAAAATGACACTGTGAAAGAAAAAACTGGCAAATCCAGAATGTGAATCTTTTCAAAAGAAAGTCTTTTTTTTTTTTTAAATCATTTTAAAAGGGCAGTGAAAAAAGCAGAGGTAAGGCTGGTCTAGATTAGAAGAGGTCAAAAAAAACCTTACACCAAATGCAATCAATACCTTGCTGGGATCCTTCTTTGGTAAGGGAAGATGCACAAAACCATAAAGTCCTAAACAAATAAAGAAATTTAAGTAAGGAATGATAATAGCTTATACTTAGGAATTACCACATCTAAAATAATTAACAATAATGGTTATTTAGCTATATAAAAAAGTCTTTATCTTTAGAGGACACATGTTGACATAGAGTGAAGGGTCATAATGTAAACAGTTTAGTTTCAAACAACTCGGTCAAAATTCTACACATATTTATAAAGAGCAGCAAGGTACCAAATGTGTTGAATTTCAAAGATGTTTCACTCCTGTTCAATATACTACTTGAAACACTGGCCAGAGTTATCAAGCAAGAGAAAGAAATAAAAGAGAAATGTATAGGAAGGAAGAGATCAAATTATCATTATTTATAATCAATATGATCCTCAACATAGAAAACCTAAAAAAATCCATCAAAAGGCTCCTAGAATAACCAAATTCAGTAGCAAGACACTGAATCAACACATAAAAATCGACAGCATTCCTATACAACTATAATGAAATCACCACGAAAGAAATTAGGAAAATACTACTATTCACAATAGTATCAAACAAATTAAAATACTTAGGAACTAATTTTAGCAAGGAAGTGAAAGATCTCTATAACAAAAACTACAGTTCCGGAGAAAGGAGATCAAAGAAAACATCAGAAAATGAAAAGACATCCCCTGTTCCTAGAAAGGAACAATATAGTCAAAATGGTCACAGTACCTCCAAAACTGATACATAGATTTAATGCAATCCCAATCAAAATGTCAACAGCATTCTACATAAAGCTAGGGAAACCAAGCCTAAAACTCATATTGAGCCAGACGAGGCCCAAAATAGCAAAAGCCTTCCTGGATAAGAAGAAAAAGTAGGAGGCATCACAATCTCAGACTTCAAGTTATACTACAAAGCTACAGTGATAGCAGAATTGTACTGACCTGAAAACAGATGTGTGGATCAATGGAATAGAATAGAGGATGCAGGAAACAACCCCAGGCACAGCTATTTGGTATTTGACAAAGGGGCCAAAAATATACACTAGAGGAAAGATAGCATACAGTGAACCCAGCACTGTATCTCTAACCATACCCTAAACTAAAATCACAAATACATCAAAGATCTAAATATTAAAAGAGAAACATTTAATCTGCTAGAAGATAAAATAGGTAAAACTCTTGAAGACATAGACATAGGCAAGGACTTTCTAAACAGAATCCCAACTGCACATGAAATAACATCAAGAATCAACAAATGGGATCATAAGAAATAGTAAAGGAAAACAACATGAAGAGACAACCTACAGAATGCAAGAAATTTTAGTCATCAGCTAGAAGACTAAATATATCTAGAATTATATAAAGAACTCAAAAAAATTAGATCCCCAAAATAAAAGTTCCAACCCAGAAACTGGCTACTAAAGTGAACAGACATTTCTAAGACAGGTAAAGGCCAATAAATGCATGAAAAATGTTTAACATCACTAGCCACTGATGAAAGTAACACTAAGAGCCCATCTTCCTCCAGAAAGAACTGCTACCATCAAGAAATCAAATAGTAATAAATGCTGGAGAGGATTTGGGGGAAAAGGAACCCTTTGTTAGTGGGAATGTATACTAAGTATTATAGAAATCACCATGGAGAGTCTGCAAAAACTAAAAATTTCATTTGATCCAGGTCTTTCCCTTCCTGAAACTAAAGACATCACACTATAGTGATATACACATACTCATATTTATAGCAGCACGATTCATAAAAGCTAAATCTTGGAAGTACCAAAGTCTATCATCAGATGTATGAGTAAAGAAAATTTGGTATTTACACACAGTGGGATACTAATTTATCCTGCCATAAAAGAGGATAAATCTGAGTCATCTATACAGAAATGGACGGACCTAAGACCATAATATTAAGTGAAATAAATCAGACACACTAGCTTAAATATTACATGATTTCTATTACATGAAAAAAATCACAATATAAATAAAGAGCAAAATAAAATGTAATAGGAAATAGGACAATAGAACTTTTGCAAAAGGTCCAAGAGATGGAGGGAATGGGAAGGAAGGAGACTAGAAGTAGAAAAAAAGAATTAAGATGTGTTGTGTACACGTACTAACTCCCCATGAGGAATGCAATCATTATGTACTGTAAACATGTACTAGTAAAAATTTAAAAATAATTTATGTATTCACTATTCTCACTTTCTGTGTATGTACTTGAAACTATTTCACAATAAAAAGGTAGGGGTGGAGAAACTCAAAAGCTCCAATTTCAGAATACAAAAATCAATCTTAAAGCAAAAAACTATGTAGAAAATGTAGAATGCCAAACACTTTTCTTTCTTTTCTCCCCTTTCCTCCACCCTAGGATGGAACCCAAGGCCTTCACACTGTACTATATCCAACTCTTACATTTTTTATTACGTGACAGCGTCCAGGCTAAGCTCCAACTTGGGATAGTACTGTCTCAGCCTCCCAAGCAGCTGTCATTAGGGGCATGTGCCACCATACCCAGCTTTTACTTCTTTTTAATACAGTATCTGTTAAATACAGGTTTACCTCTTTGATAGCAATAAAATAGGAAGGAAAGAAACAAGTATTTAAGATAATCCTTTAGGGGCTGGGGACATAACTCAGCAGTGCAGCACCTGCCTGGCAAGCTTGAGGTCTAGAGTACAATTCCTGGTGACCCCCCCCAAATAATAATAATAATCCTTTAACAGTTAGTTCTCTCAAAACAGACACATGGAGGAGTGCACAATTAGATAACAACTCTATGTTCAATCATATTCAACCTAATTCAATAAGACTCAACATATTTATACTTTAACCAATCAACAAATCAATTTGTGAGGCATCCACCTGCTAACTCTGTATGTCTTTTCCTTAAAGACATTACACAGATATTCAATAAATTTTCTTCAATGTGATAATATACAGTACTTGAAACCCAATATTATCAGTTGAGGATCAACAGGTTTCTTAAACATGTGCAACCTCAATTACTCAAGGGAATTTATCACTATTTTCTTAGTAAAGACCTCTTTTTCACTAATCATAAAGAAATAGGCTGTCACAGAGCTAGCTCACACTGAGTTTCCCTGACCCAGTGCCTACTTTTGTCTTTGCCCTTTCCTTCTCTTCTCTAGGCCCAAGCTTACTCTACAGAGCCAGTTTTCCCACACATACGCTCTTCACTTTCTCTTTCTTCAATAAAGTCTTTTAAAAAAAATAGTACAGACCAATGTTAAGACGAAAGTTTTCAGTTAACTTATACCACTCTACATATAAGTACTACTGCTGCATCAAAATAACTTTCTGCAGTATTCTACATATTAAATGTTACATGAAAGTCAGAAATATTGCACAAGACAATGCAAAATTACTGTGTTACCATTGCCACATAATTCAGCAACAAATTTTGCAATAAGGAAATCTCAAACAACCCAACTGTGAGTTCCCTGTAATGCACCAAGAACAAACTGCGAAAGTAAAATTGTATATGTTGTTTTACCAACCACTTTTTTTTTGCAAGAAAGGAAGCTTCTTCTGACCAGTTCTAACATGAAAACAAGTAAAGGTGCCTAGCACCACCTTTTCACACGTATTTTAAAAATCAAGGAAATGACTTGGCAAGGCTGCAGCAAAACACACCAGTCTGCATCAGAGGAAAAGCATATATTATCTTTTCTGGTGCTTGGAATTTATGCCCAGGAAGAAATATAGCCAGTCTCATTTTTCTCACATTTTTCCTTTTACAAGACTGAAAAACATTGTTTTAACAAAAGACATTCACATGAGTCAAGGTTTCTTTGACTGCCAGCTACATGACTTTGGGCAAGTGCCTCAACCTCTCTGAGCCTCAATTTTCCATCTGTAATGTGGGGAACAGAGTATCCACTTCACTGGACTTGGAAGGTGAAGTAAGATAATACACAACAGCTCCCAGGCATAAGAATAAGTGCTAGCTCAATGTTCCATAAAGGAAAGAGAAACAATCCTACAAGAATCCTACAAGACAAACACTTTTTCGCTTACAGCACATACCTGTACCATCATAGGATCAGCTGCACCCTTCCGACTAAAGTCCCCGCAGAGTACGTGTCTGACAGTTACTCAGCCTCCTTCACCTGACCCGCCTTCAGGACGGGATGCAAGGAACCCAAGTCCGCTCTCCCGAGCACGGCAATCACCCTGCGCAATCCCCGCCCCGGGAGCGGAGCACAGGCCTCACCAGCCTCAGGCCCCTCCACGCTCAGAAGCCCGGCCACGGCCACACACAAAATGTCACGCATACATACGCGCGCACACAAGCACGCGCGCGACACTTACCGACCACTACGCGGGGCCGTACAGAGCCGCAGGCCGGAGGAGGGGCGCCCGCAGCCAGGCCCGCCCCTCCGCCCCCGCGCGGCCTGTCACCGCGGCCCGGGGTCCCGGAGCTTGCCCGGGGACCGGAGGGGCGTGCGAGAGCCGGGCGCGGGCTGCGGGGCCAGGCCCGACACTCCTTTACATGGGGCCCGAGCCCTCCTCTGCGCTGCTTGACACAGCAGCCCGCAGGCCCGCGGGGAGCTGGGTAGGAAAGGAGGAAGCCGAGGGTTGGCGCCGCCAGAAGCAGAAGAGGCGGGAGCGGCGACTCGGCGGCCGGAGACGCGAGACGTCCGGGGATTCGTCCTCCCCTTTTCTGCCGCTGGCCGCGCGACCACGAACGCCACACTATGCGGCCACACCGCCGTCGTCAAGCTCCGCAGCCGAGGGTAGCCCAGCTACCACTACACACGGACCGTGACGTCTGGCGTAGCGCGGCGCACGTCACGGCAGCTCTTTCGGGCACGCGCAGCCCTCCCGCCAGGGACGGATTCCGCCGCGGCCGCGCACCCCGCCGGGCAGAGCGAGTCAGCGCCTGCGCAATAGCCTGCCGTGCCCACGCAAGGCCTGCCCCGCCCACCGGATAGCGTGAGGGTTACAGGCCCGGCCCCTGTGTCGACTCCGCCCCTGGCTTCCGGCGGCCTGCGCTTTTCTACACAAACGTCGTAAAAGGGCCTGGGTTCTGTCGCACCTACCTGTACGCTTGTCTCGCCCGATGGCGCCGAACTGTAAAAGAGGCGTTCACCTGGGCTCCCGGCGGCAGCCAAAGTCGGCGAGCCTGGAGAGGCAGCGACCGACTCCAAAACCGAGGAAAGTCATTTCGAGGTGAAGAACCATCCGCCTCTCAGTTGACGAATCAAGTTTCAGAGTTGTTTGCCAAAAGACTATGACTGTAGGCTTCGGCTGGGCAGGTAGCTCGTAGGTACATCGCTTGCTTGTCTGACGCACGCTGAGGACCTGGGTTCCCTCTCCAGCACCACGAAACGAAAAAATTGACATCAGTTTGTCACCTAACCGTAAACCTCCCCGGCTACACCCCCAATCAAATAGCATTTATGTCGTGGGGAGCAGAGGATGGGTTGGTGAGTCGCTAAGTGGTCCTCCTGTCTCAGTCTCCCAAAGTGCTGGGATCACAGGTGTGCGCAACCACACAGCTTAGGTTAGCATTTAAATCTTACACTTTTCCCTTACTCTCCACACTTCCTAGCCTAGCCACATAGCAGACATTCAATAAATGCGTATTCGTGTATTAACTGATCTTTTCTTTTGGTATCAGGAATCGTACTCAGGACTTTGTGCTTCCAAGGCAGGCACTGTACTACTGTGCTATATATCTCCGGCCCTTACTAAGTAATCTAGAGATAAAATATTCCTCATACCAATACTCCTCCACTTCCTTCTATCACCTGCATTTTAGGGAGTTCTTGCACTTCTAGGTTCCGTAGGAACAACTTAGGTAATTATAGTAGCTATTATTTTTCTCCCCTTTTCATTTCACTGACGTTTTATGCTTATATATGAAATCTCAGCAATTCTTGGTTATTTTAGTATGTGTGGTTACAAATTAATGTACTTGAATTTTTTTCCTTGAAACTTTCAGAGTTTTGAGAGGGAGAGAGTCCACAGAGTTAGAACTGTGCTTCAGATTGCCATGATGCAGCAGCATAATCCCACCTACCCGAAACTCTTTATCTTTTAAGATGCTAAAAATAAACTACAGTACAGAATGACTTGCATTGTAACAGCAATGTGTATCAGGTGTAACAGCAAAGGAGAAGTTGTCGTGGGTGTGCCTAAGGAAGTGAAAGCCAGCTTCAGAGAGGAGGCAAGATACGAACTGCTTTGCTGCATAACAAACTTCCATAGACTTAGTGACATCCAACTATACCTGTTGATTAACTCATAATTCTGCAAGACAGATGTTTCCACAGAAGCATGACTACTGCGTATTAAAGGCTGACATCGAGGTGTTATCTGGACTGAGTTCTCATCTGAGGACCTTGGGAAAGATCCCCTTCCAAGCTCAGCTTGTTGGCAGAATTCACTTCCTTCTAGTTGCAGTGTTGAGGTTCCCATTTCCTGGGCCTACTTTTGGCTTCTAGAGGTTACCCACATTTCTGACCACATGACCCTCAACCTCAAAGCCAGCAACAAAGATTTCTTGTTTGACAAAAATGTCCCTCCTTCTTCCTTTTTTACTGCCAGCCAGATAAAACTCTGCTTTTAAAGAATTCATGTGATTAGATAAAACATATCTAGATAATGTTCTGTTCTTAAAGTCAGCTGTGTCAACATAACCTAATCATGGTAGTAAAATCTATTATATTCACAATAATGAGGGCTACATGGGTCATGCACACTAGCAGGCAGGGATCTTCAGGGAGTCTTAGAGCCCTGCCTATCACAAATCATGAGCTACAACTCCAGTAGGAATTGATATTTTCTGAAAAAAGATGAAGGAATATGGGCATTCCAAGTAGAGGGCATGAAGTGCACACAAGCTTGGAAGTGCAAAAGAATATGTCTTTCTTAAGAAAGGCAAGAGTTCCTGGCTGCTGGGTTTTGGGAGAGGTGAAGGAGAAATGAAGTCAGAGAAGAAAGAGAGCTACCAGGAAATTAGAAAAGAGATAGTTGAGGCAAGTTAAAGAGCTAGATTGGTTGTTATGGTTTGTATATGGATGTCACCCAAAGCCTAATGCACTCAGAGCAGGGATTATGGAAGGTGATTGAGTTAGGGAGGTGCTGGGAGGGTGTACTGGCCAAAAAGGCAGGTCATTGGGGCACGACCTTGAAGTCCGTATCTTGCTTCCTGCTTTCTCCTTTCACACTCTGCTTTCTGTCTCCCATGAAGTAAGCAGCTTTCTTCTGTAGAGGTCACCAAGCTGCTGACCATACAAGGTCTGAAACTTCTAAAATGTGAGCTTTTCAGTTGTAGGTGTCACATACTTTGTTCCAGCAATATGTAAAATGACTAAGACAGTTGAGCAATGAAAGTCCAAACCAGAGCATTGGATATCATTTGGGATACATTTGACAATAGTATATAGATAAGTAAGTCATGGACTCAAAAGAGCTTAAACAGTAAGAGTTATTTTCTCTTACTGTTTAAGCTCTTACTGTTTGACATAATGAAAGTCTAATAAATGTTTCCAAGGTTGATTAAGGCTATAAATTGTCATCTCTGGGATCACAAAATGACTACCTCAGTTCCTGATATCATGACCTCTTACCTAAGAAGGAGAAGCTCTGTCTCTGGCACCACCCCACTCTTGTTCTCACTCCGCTGCCTTGCTCACTTGTTTTGGCAGCACTAGGGACTAACTCACAGTCACAATATTAAGCTATATCCCCAGCTCCCTTTGTTGCTTTTCTTTTTGTTTGTTATTTGAGACAGCATCTCACTACGTAGTTCATCCTGGCCTTGAACTCACTGTGTAGCCAGAGACCGGCCTTAAACTCACACTGATTCTGTTGCCTCAGCCTCCTGAGAGCTGAGGTTACACGCATGTGCTACTGCACCTGACTTTATTGGGGGTTTTTAAAAACAATTTTTAATTTTATAGTTTTTTAGATTAGGGGCCAGGGGTTTAGCTCAGCAGCATTAGTACCTGCTTGGCAAGTAGGAGGTCATGAATTCAATCCCCAGTATCAAAAATGTAAATTAACAATAATAATAATTGCTTTAGATTTACAAAAAAATTAGTAAGATGATAGTACAAAGAGTTCCCATATACTCTCACACCCAACCTGATATCCTAAAGGTTTCACTCTGGTGACCTACATATAAGGCAGAAGCACAGAAAAATCACACACCAGGGCTGGGGATTTAGCTCAGTGGCATAAGCTCCTGCGTTGCAAGCAGGCAGTCGTGAGTTCAATCCCCAGTACCAATAAAAACAAAAAGACCAAAAAAAATCACACACCCTACCAACAACAATGCTGCCCTCCAGCACCACATGATCCATGTGGGAGACAGTAGCACAGAAGCCTCATATTCCTTACCAAGAGGAGAATGACTAGACTACTAAATCCTAGCCCACTTTGCTCTTGCATTCTCTATTGCACAGGGTGACAAAAGTGACAACTAAAGACTGAACTGATTGAACCCAAGACCAACAACTAGGAGTAGAGTTTCACTTCATGACTGAAATGTTAAGCCCATTAGAGAGACTGAATGAGAATCATCCAGGTGAGGCAGGCTTAGAGAGGATAAGAGCTAAACAGGTCTCCTGGGATCCTCTGATAGGCTGAGGCTCAGCCCAGGAGGATATAAAATCTGAATACTGTGGTGGGAGGGCAGGTTTGGTGGGTATTATGGATTGAGTCTGGATGCCTCCCCCAAAAGCCTCATGGAGTCATGAGGGTAGGCTTCTAGAATTTCTGATTGATTTGTGGTCCAATGCTGGCATTATGGGTATGAGTGCTACACCCACCCTAGGGTAAGTAGCCTATATACAACATAAGGAACAGAAAGATTCTTTTCTTCACATGCCTGCCTCTTTGGTCTTGTTGTTTTTGCTGTCTTCTGCCATGAACTGTTGCCCCTCTGCCATGACACCCTGCCCTGGAGCCAGCTGATTATGGACTGAGACCTCCACAAACCATGAGCTAAATAAACTTTTCCTTCCTTAACTTGGGGTTTCAGATATTTTTTCTCAGCTATGAGAAAAAAGTAATCAAGACAGATTTGCTACCAGAGGAATGGGGTCATTTCTGTGACTATACTTAACCAAGTGGTTCAAGAGTCTTTGGATATGGCTTGTGGGAAGAGTTTGCAAAGTCAGGAGATGTCACCTGAGAGAGTAGAGCTGGAATACCTTAGACTGTTCTGTATGGGAGATTCTGGTCAGAGCTCAGACACCAGAAAACCAGAAAAGATTAGGCTTGGATGGTTTCTGCTGGAAAGAAGGACTGTATTGGCTTCTAGACTCCAGATGATGTGCATTATGGC